CCCAGCCATCCCTTGCAGTTCCATCAAGAGTTTGTACGTATTGACTTTTGAAGCAATTTGGCTTGCTGCATTCTGCTCGCTGGTAATCATATCCTGGACATTTTCCCTTTCCAAATAATTTTCAGTAATATAGATACCATCATCTAAGTACCCTTTCCATTAAGTTGCAGGTACCACTGATGTTCAAACTCTGAATATCATACAACATGCATCTATGCCTCTGATGGAATTCTGCTGTTGCCATCCTTCATTTAAAGGCCCTGTCAGATGACCATTCACTGTAAAGTTGAACATAGATGTTTATATCACTGCTGCAGAATATAACCAATGTCAAGTACAAGAAATTTTTAAATTTATTCTCATTAAACAAGAGGTACAGTATGTATGGGAAGAATTACACTGATAGCTCTGCCTTGATTATGCTGAGCCTATTTCATTGATATCTGGTACATTTTTGCAAAATCACACCCAACGTGAAGTCGTCAAAGGAGAAATGGTGCGATGTTGCTGTCCTTTTCTACATATGAAAAACCAGAAGTTTCAAATCCCACTCAGTTCAGTAAAAACCCAGATGTTGGAAATCTCTGTGTTTGCTCCGGGGTTGAAATGTTCTACCTTGTTTGTTTCTCCTGTATTGTTTGGCTGGGACAAAGTTTTGCTGCTAAATAGGTGGAATCGCATTGCGAGAGTAATATCTCCAGGAATGCTTTAAAACAAATTCTTCTTAAGACTAAACTAGCCTGCCAACGCTTCTCTACTCTGCATCCTTCTTATTTTTTCTCATTGTTGTGGTGCTGAGTCATTTCCTGGTTCCTGCTCCCTCAGTCTGTACCTTTTCTCTGTGTTTCTCCTGTCTGCTTTCATAGCACTTAAGCTCCACAGGCTTTGTTACAGCCAGCAACTGACTTTGAATGGAAACCTGGCTGTTCTGCAGTTCTTGTACAAGTCCAAAATCTTTTCCTTACTTCTCCAGTGCTCTATTCCCTTTCCAAATAATTGTGTTGAATGCATCAGGGCAGGCAAGTCAGAGCAATGGACAAAATGCATTTGCATTTTGAAGTTGTATCTCTAACTCTGCCTCTTTACATGCAACATCATGACGGACCATGCACTGAGATTTCACAAGGCGTGTTTGTCAAAAATAGACACGAGTCACTTGGATTGTGGTTGTATGTATGTATGTATATATATATATGTGTAGGTCTTTGGTTGTTCGGGTTTTCTCCCACGTTTTCTCCCACATTGCTGCTCAAAGCACAAGCTGAAAGCACCAGCCTGAAGATGACGAATGGGACTTCGTCGAAACGTCGCCAAGACACTTCCAATTTTACGTGGGAGAAAACCCGAACAACCAAAGACCTACATACAAATACCCGCGAAAACCTCAGAAAACAAATATCGAACCTCTACGGGGAGGAAATCCACCATCTGACCAGGACCTATGAAAAACTTGAAGTCCAAAGAGCTTCCATTTTATGTGACCTCACATTCCTACGCAACTGCCGAGATCAAAATCTAATCCCCACATGTTTCCAACTGAAATTCCACTCCAACTCTGCAGCCACCAAACGGATCCTGAAAAGAACAGAATTGGCCCTAATCAGAAATGAACTTCACACAAAAAGATTCCTCCTAGACCGAATTAACAAAGATCTCCTCACACTCCACCTCAAACTCAGCAACAAGATCCACCCTGCACTTTGGGACAAATCCAAACAACTCGCCGTCTGGAGAGCCGAAACACAGACCACCCTCAAGACAGATACACACACCAACAAACTCCGAAGACTACAAGAACGCCAGAAACAAACCCCTCCTCCCTCACAGCCACACATGAAACAAACAGTGCATAACATCTCAGATAGGATCCTCACCAAAGCCGAAACCAATGTCCTTTCCAAAGGATTCAACTTTGCAGTCGCTCCCAAACACATCCCCACTGAAACCATTATATGTGGAGTTGAAACCAGCCTGACCAAAATCAACCCCGACGACGCAACACATTACTGCTCAAAGCACAAGCTGAAAGCACCAGCCTGAAGATGACGAATGGGACTTCGTCGAAACGTCGCCAAGACACTTCCAATTTTACGTGGGAGAAAACCCGAACAATCAAAGACCTACATACAAATACCCGCGAAAACCTCAGAAAACATATATATATATATATATATATATATGGAATAAACAAACATTAGGGTTGGGCAGTTCAGCGACGACATCTGAAATCTGTAAATATTAACTAACAATGCAAACCTGGTTCTGAGGCTTCCTTGCATTGTAGAAAAACCAACATGCATCTCTCTGTTCTCTCTGAAGCTAAAAAAAAAAAAGATTAATAACACAGACATTCCAAGTTTAACAAGGCATGGGGATATTTATGCATTTATTAGTGGGGTGAATATTATAGACCACGTGTTTAGCATGCTACTTTAGAAATATAGTTGAAGGAGAGATCTGATCTTGTTTCTTAATTGAAAGAAGTAGAGGGCTGCTGGATTTCTTAAAAATGTATTTACAGGGGAAGGGGATCCCAATCATGCACCGTTAAAATGAATTTCTTGAAGGCTAAGCAAAAAAAATATATGCTGCATCATTGATAGATGGTAAATTTGGTAAACCGTTTCAAGGGATTGGTATCTTGGTGTGTTAAATAGTTAAAGCTGGAATTTAGTCCATCAATTATATCCATTTCAACAGCAGCTTCTCACTCTTTTTAGTCCTTTGGTGTTTTGCTAATTATGATGGAACTGCTTCTTGAAGTGACAGCTACCCACTCATAGCAGAGGTAAAAAAAACAAAAAACACCATCCTGATGGTACCACTACATCTTCAAGGTGAGCTGTGACCGTTGTAATTTTAATCTTAAGGACCTATGGGAAGATGGAATGGCAAGCAATAGTTAGATCATCTTGCATTTCCTCTCCCTCTTGAAGTTTCCAGAGCTTTGCTACGTAATATCATGGCATTTGTTCCTTGAGGGGCATTGGTGGCCCTTCTTTGCCAAAGTAACAGTTTAGGCGGGAGGAATTTCTCTCTAAATCCCAGTGTATTTCATCCTCCAAATAGTTGCTAGAGCCAGAGCTTGCTATTTCATTTTGCCCTCAGGTTTAAGCAAATACTGTATCTCTCTCTTAAAAACCATTATTCAGCACAGCAATACTGTTCACACAGGGAAAGTATTTTCATGGCAGAAGAAGAGACGTAAGAGATTTCAGACCAAAAATGTAAGCATACCCAACTTCAATTTGTAGGACCCATTTGAGAATCTGAACATGACTATTGGCAGCTCCTGAGAAAATCTCAGTGGAAATGGTTCTTGCAATCCAGTGATATTTTCACGCTATGCAAGTACATAAAAAATATTGCCCAGTGATGCTATTTATACTGAATTCTGAGTTTGTTCAACAATAATATCTTAAAAGATGGATAAAACTCTGTCTTATACTTTGAGATAAATCCAGTTTGTAAAATGTGAGTAATTTTTTTTTCTTTTTTAAATCATACATTAATAATTTAGATTGCATTAATGCATTAATAGTTTAAATCAGCTTAATGGAATGTTTTTAAATTAACAGAAGTATTGTAAATAATTTAGGAGAATATAAATTATCTAAAATTTCAAAACAGCAATATGTTTAATTCAAACATCTTTTTGAGTTTACTATTTGTTCCAGACACCTTCCAGACATCTAAAACTCTTAATCAATTAATAACACTGAAATACATTTTGGATAACTCTAAATCTGCAATCCTTTTTATAAACAGTGAAAGAATATTGAAAACTGATATTAATTATTTGCGAGAACATTGGAATTAAACAAATGGAAGACCCCCATGTTAACAAACAAATAGTTAAGGCTCTTTAAGAAGCTAGATATATCTCTTGCAATTTGAAGATGAGATTAATTCAACAAAATGCATTCTTTAACTTCTTCTACCCATTCCAAAGAATGTATTGTCAGCCCCAGTATGCTGAAAATGTAAAATGATAGGCGGGGAGACCTTTATATAAACTATACGTATGATAAGAGCTTGTCTCACAATTAATGCATTTTGATTTAATGTCCATAAATTGTCAATGTGGTTTTGGGAAGTGGATGTGGTTGAAAAGTGTGAAGGTGGTTTGGAATTATATATGTAGAAAATGTACACAATTTCAGCACAAAATGTAGAAATTATCAATACTGTATATGAATGACTATGGAGCTTAACCAAAAAAAAGACTACTCTTTTGCAAAGGGAAGAAGGTGCCATTCCAGATTTATAGTGTTTGATTGATAATATGTGTTTCTATTGTCTGGCTCTGTGTTATGGAAAGATTGACCCATATTACTCTGTGTCACGGGTGTCAAACTCACCATGTCACCTGACGTGTCGCGATGTATTGCAACTTTTTTTGCATTGCTGGAGCTGGGTGGGCACGGTCTCTGCATGATGCAACCGGCCCTCAGGCCAGCAGTTTGACACCCCTGCTCTGTGTGATCAAGATTTGTTGCGCTGCTTAAATGCTTAAAAAGTACTCTGTTTAAAAACTGAGGTGATTTCCACATGTATTACAGTATGTTCTTGCTTCTTTCTTCTCTTGGCTTGTGTTATTTTTTTTAATGTTTTCTCTGATTTTTCCCATCTACTAACTAAAACAATAAAAATGCAAATAACTACACAGAACTCTTTTTACTAGTGTTTAGTAGCTGTCCAGAGTCTTGCATTCTACATATGGGAGCCCTAACCTCACTACCAGATCAAGACTGTGAGTAAACTTACATGAGAGGAAGCAACTCCTAAAGTAAAGATAAGTATGGTGGGAACTGAAGCTGGCTCAGATGCAGGCTGGAAACAACTAGGACTACTTCTTGCTAGGCAGGTATGCCATTATTGCATAGCTAATGCTTATATGTTTTGTCACACTCTGGCATAACTGAAGTTTCCAAAACTTCTTCAGCTGTGATGAATAGCCTGCAGTCATTCAATCTGATTTCAGCTTTGCCTTGTTAGAAATGGAGGCAGTTATCACAGCAGCTATTGTGGCACTGTGCTTGAACTGCTGCTTGCATAAGGAGAGGGGAAGAAAAGATGCCAACAGTTCTTTGTTTGGTGAGAAAGAGCAATGGAGACTACTGGAACTCTTAAAATGCCAGGCTTTAGGCTAATTATCTGTGGATCATTGGTGCCCTCTAGTGTTTACACAAAAGTAGAACTTTCTACCAGCACCACAATCCCAGAGAAACTGCTTGTAACTGGACAACTTAGAGCAGTGTTTCTCAACCTTGACAATTTTAAGGCATGTGGACTTCAACTCCCAGAATTCCACAGCCAGCTGTGGAATTCTGGGAGTTGAAGTCCACATGCCTTAAAATTGTCAAGGTTGAGAAACACTGACTTAGAGAGAACAAATACTGTCTGATACAATAATAGCAGCAGCTTTCTCTTCTGTCTTTTGGGGAAAACAGTCCCACAAAGTAATGTTCCCCTGCCAGGAGTCGTTCCAAATCAGTAACATACAGGGCCTCTTCAGGCCTGCTGTCTTCCACCCTAGCAGTGGAAGAGCAGGATGGATGTACTAACTCTTCCCACTGGGCCCCATTAATGTCCCTGTTTTCACTATCATAATCACATAAAGCAGTGGTTCTCAACCTGTGGGTCGGGACCCCATTTGGGGTCGAATGACCATTTCACGGGGGTCACTAAACCATGCTGTCCGCCATTTTTTCCCTTTTCCCTAGCTGTCCTACTCCCTCTTATTGGTGGCCACACCCACTTGGGGGTCACCACAACATGGGGAACTGTATTATGGGGTCACGGCATTAGAAAGGTTGAGAATCACTGACATAGAGAATGCAGCAGGGACTTTCTGCATCCATTGAAGGCCTCCCCCCACCGCCAAGTTGAAATCTCTCTGCCCAGCCTTGAACCAGCAAAACAACAGGGAACATTTGCTGATCTCTTTGCAATTCATTTCTCTATTCTGATGCCAGACACAGCCAGTCAGTTGACTTCTCTCCAGGGAAATGAGCAATAAAGCTCAAGAGCTTTTACAGTATATACATGAGACTGTCCTTGGATGGAAAAACAAGGGGGGGGGGGAGAAACAGGACTTCAACATCAGTTCAGCTAAGGACGGTAGGACAGCTTATCATGCACTGGCGATATAGCCCGAAGAATGTATGTTACCATGAATGTTTTTTACCAATACTTGAAAATGGAGAAAGACCCAAAAGATTCTCCAAACAATATTTGAAAAAGAGCTACTTCCACCAGCTTTTACTATAATGATCCTGAAAATGTTCTGTATTTTGCTTTTACCTTTCACAACACTCTAAAAGGTTATAATGGGCTGTACAATGAACAATACTACACTGCATACTGTATTTCAGTCACTGTTTGATGGAATGTATAAGTAATAGAAATTCATACCGCATAGAGCAAGCCAGCCCAACTTCAAAATATCATCTCGATCCATTACTCATTGACAATATATTGAATTCAAGTGAAAACATTTATTTTCAGTAAATTACAATATGACAAAAATAGATACTTTGTGACAGAAACTGAAAACATGTGTCTTTAGAATGTTACCCACAAGTCCTCTGAATGAGTGGGCGTTCTGCTAACGCACAGCAGTACTCTCTGTTTCCATCCTGATTTCAGTCCTAAAAATAGGTTGCAAGAGGAGCTCTTTCATAATCAAAGAAATAGTGCTAAATAAATACTATCAAAGACATTCTATAGCTATCTATATAGTACTAAAACTCTTGTATCTATAACCTTTAATTGGGTGACACAGTGCATCATAGGGCCACAATTTTTGAACCAAGGTAGTACTTCAAATGGTCTAACTTACAGAATGCATCCAAAATCCGGGACTCATTCAAATTCAAATTTGGCAAATTTGTGGTTGCTTCAGTGCTGCCATGCTGCAGCCTGGGGGTTCAGTAGACTGGTATCACATTCTAGCCCTCCAGAAGCCAGGTAGATTGATCTCAATATCACTCCCATTTCCACTGATTTTTGCCCTTTATCATTCTACTTCTCTATATAGGTAGGAAATATCTTTGCAACGATGATCCAAAAGATCACCAATTGCCTAGCCTTCAGACTAAAACCTTTGCATTGTATCAAAATTAGATGGTCACAGTCTCTTTCTGGAGTTGTAGAAAGGAGAAGAAGAAGAAGAAGAAGAAGAAGAAGAAGAAGAAGAAGAAGAAGAAGAAGAAGAAGAAGAAGAAGAAGAAGAAGAAGAAGAAGAGGAAGAAGAGGAAGAAGAGGAAGAAGAAGAAGAAGAAGAAGAAGAAGAAGAAGAAGAAGAAGAAGAAGAAGAAGAAGAAGTAGTAATAATTTTTTTAAAAGGTAATACAGAAGTGGTTACGGTTAGTTTGAAAAACTAACAAGGATTGGACATGGCAGGGATGTTCCAGAGTGTTTTGTGGTTTGCATTTGTCCATTTCCCTCATCCACAACATATTTTGCAAACAGCCCTGCTTTTGTGATATGGTGATAGCACCTGAGCTTTCAATGAGCAGGAAACATTCCTAGAGAATCTGTTCCCTTGAGCTGGTGGACATTGGCAACTCTGATCTAATCCAGAAGAGCAGGCTATAAAAATGTCCAGGTCATCTTAGGACATTCCCGGCATAACAACTGAGTCTACTGTATCTGATGCCCAGCTTCTGACTTTCATTCAGAAGCTGCCAAGGCCCAGCACTAATGATAACTCATGTTCTCCTCCACTATATAAATAGAACTGTCCCAACTATTAGCAGCATATTTTCTATGTCACAAAAGGTCATTATTGTTAAATTTGCTGTTCGTATAATGTTATGGGAAAGATGAGCTTATTGAGATTTTCTATCTCAAATAGATATTACAGTGGTTAGAATGCAGTATTGCAGGCTAACTCTGCCGACTGCCAGCAGTTCAATTCTCACCGGCTCAAGGTTGACTCAGCCTTCCTTCTTTCCGAGGTCAGTAAAATGAGGAGCCAGATTGTTGGGGGCCATAGGCTGACTCTAAACCCCTTAGAGAGGACTGTAAAGCACTGTGAAGCAGTATACAAGTCTAAGTGCTGTTGCTATTACATATCTGGGCTGCAAAAATCTGAACAATCATACATGGCAGGGTGCTACCCAGCTTTTTCAAAAACATCATCAAAAAAATGTATTGGGGATCATCTTTTTATATGCATGTCTTAATTTGTTTGGATTATGATGAAAGCGAGAGCCCCAATCTTACCTTGACTGTTGCAGGAAAAGCTAAAGCTGGGAAGTGTTGCACCTGGTTGAGTAGTTCAATGGAAGAACACCAATCTGGGGCATCAGGCTAGACTGGGGAACCAAAGAAGGCCATGACAAACTCATTACTGTACATATTATTGCCAAACAAACTGTCCATGTGTTGATCAGGGGTCAAACATGACTCAAAGTAGAATCACATATCAACAAAGGGTGCAACAGAAGTATTTAGCTGAGAAAAGTATGGATACTTGAATGGGAGTTGAAAAAAATTGTTAGTAGTCCCTGAAAGAGAAGAATCTAGTACTTTCCCTTTTAAAAGTTCTGTATGTGTGCCTTCAAAACAGTGTTGACTCCTGGCAACTGTCTGGAGTGATCTCGGCAATTTTCTTGGCAAGGTTTTTTAGAAGTGGTTTCCCAGTGCCTCCTTCCTAGGGCTGAGAGAGAGTAAGTGGCCCAAATTCACCCAGTTATATTTGTGCCCTAAGGTGGGATTAAAACTCATAGTCTTCCACTTTTTAGCCTGGTGCCTTAACCATTACACAAAACTGTCTCTCCATAAATTTTAAGTTGTCCCAAAAAGAACAGATGAGTTTTTCCCATCCTTCCTGTGATGTCCCTTCCCCATTGTAAGGGGGAGGCTGACTGCATGTTCTCTGGGCACCAAGATGTACAGAGTTAGAAGGAGTGTTGAAATGCACTTATTCTTTGGAAAGTAACAGTTGAAGCAATTGAATCAATCCTTCCCCATTCTCCTACCCCTTTTAATCACATACAGTGTTAGGCTGAGGACTACCTTAGTATAGGTGGATTATGAGGTATTAGGGCATCAGGCACCAAGAAGCCAGTCTATCTCTGTACATCCAAAGCTGTTTTAGCTCACCAAGTACTTTAGGGCAGGCATCCCCAATCCTAGCCTATTCTCAACTGGGCTGTTGGCTGGCATGCATGTGCAGTTCAACTTGCGCAAGCAATCGAGCTTCGTGTGCATGGGCGTGTGTGCTGGCCCACCTCTCGTGCAAGTCAAGCTGCACGTGTGTGCATGCCAGCCCACCACTCACATGGCCCGGTTCTCTTCTTCTCACAGCCAGGCTGCCAAGCTGCAAAGGTTGGTGACCACTGCATTAGGGCTACTCTTTTGGAGATGCAAAAATTCATTTGATGGCAGCAAAGAGATACAACCATTTGATGGCAGCAAAGAGATACAGGTAGTCCTTGCTTAACAATCACAATTGGGACTAGCAATTCCATTGCTAAGTGACATAGTCATTAAGCAAGACATAATGAGACTGTGACTTATGATTTTACTGCTGGCTTCTCCATTGAGTCAACTTGTTGGAAGCAGCCATGAAGCACACAAATAGTAATCATATGATCACATGTGGGATGTTGTTATAGTCATAGGTGCAAGGACCAGGCATAAACTTACAAGGTAACTTCGAATAGTTGCTAAACAGGCTAGTTATTAAGTGAGGACTACCTATACTGAAAATTAACCTTTAATTGTTATCTAATAGTTGTCTGGACATGAATGTTATTCCAATTGGCTGAGGAGGCTGTACTACATACATTCAGAATAATTGTGGTTTCTAGACTTCCCGCTTGAAATTCCTTTCATGGTCAGCTTGATCCATTTGCTGTGTGGAAAATGGAAACAATGCAACATTAATCAAACCCGTTATAAAGACAATGAATTCCTTCCTCTATCAAATGCTGGTTAAGAATGAATTTTTTTTCCTGAACATATCCAGTTTAACAAGTGATGTCTTTGTTTGGAATGTGGATGTTTTGACTATGATCTTGCTAATGGAAAAATTAGATGAACACATAGAAAATAATTTTCAATAAACCCTTCCCTGTAGCACAATGCTCACACATTAATATAGTTTGCTGAAGGCTTCATTCTGCCTGACAAAGAATTGGATATAATGTGCATTGCTGCTGGCTGTAAAATGAACAATATGTTAGTAGTTTTGAGGAACATAGAATATAGTACATAAAATAAAAGGGTTGGAAGGGACCTTAGAGGTCTTCTAGTCCAACCCCCTGCTCAAGCAGGAGACCCTATCTCTAGCATCCTGGACAAATGGCTGTCCAATCTCTTCTTGAAAACTCTAGTGATGGAGCACCCACAACAGGCAAGCTGATTACTTGTTACTTGTTCTCACTGTCGGGAATGAGAAATTTCTGAGAAAGCAGAACAACTTCACTCAAGTTAGTGTCCTTCAGATATGTTATACTGCCATTCAAAATTCACAGGTATTATGACATGCCTTCAGGAGAATGAAAACATAAGGATGAGTCCCCAGGAAAAATGCCACCAAATCGTGGTATCCTTCTTTATGGTGAGGAAAGCATGTTTGGGTTGCAACCAGATGGCCTCTGGCACCATTTGACCCATGCTGTGGCTATTTATTTATTTAAGCTAGTTCATTTATCTGCAGTCCAAGACCAACACAAAAATGAAGTGCAATAAATACAATAAGTAGAAGGAGGGAAATGGCATAAAAATCCTGAAATGGTTAATAATGTAAAGGAGACGCTGGTGGGTTTGTGAAGCCAATCTTCACGTAGGTGTCTGAGAACTGATCACATTAGAAAAAGAGCAGCAATCTCATAATCACAGAAGCAGTCAAAATTACTGACCACTGGAGATTCAACCTCCATTGTGTACATAGCAGGCATTTTAATAGCACAGGTGAAATAGCTTCAACCTCCATATATGAAAACAGAGAAGAACAGCAATTCTAAAAAAAGTTAGCGTATCTGCCTATTGTCATCCTAATGAGCGGTATGTCCCAATTCATGCCAGAATGGAGTCTCTTGTGAGGAACATATATAGGATATTAAGAAAATATCTAAGGACAGCCCAGGGGGTGGGACAGCAGTTACACTGCAGAGAGAGACCAGGAAACTCGGACATTGTCAGTTTGAATCCCTGAGTTCAATTCAACCAGAGGTCTGTCTTTCTTTCTTTCTTTCTTTCTTTCTTTCTTTCTTTCTTTCTTTCTTTCTTTCTTTCTTTCTTTCTTTCTTTCTTTCTTTCCTACCTACCTACCTACCTACCCACCTACCTGTCCTATAAGAGATAATATCAGTACAGATAGTCCTTGACTTACAACCACAATGGAGCCCAAAATTTCTCCTGCTAACCAAGACAATTATTAAGTAAATTTTGCCCCATTTTATGACCTTTCTTCCCACATTGTTAAGTGAATCACTGCAGTTGTTAAGTTAGCAACATGGCTTCCCCATTTACTTTGCTTATCAGAAGGTTGAGAAAAGTCATCACATGACCTCTGGACTCTGCAACTGTCATAAATACATGCCAGTTGCTAAGTGTCTGAATTTTGATCACATGACTATGGGGATGTGCCACAGTTGTAAGTGTGAAAAACAGTCATACGTCACTTTTTTCAGTGCCATTGTAACTTCAAATGGCCACTAAACAATAGCTGTAAGGCAAGGATTATCAGAAAGCAGACAATTAAAATTTCTTCACTTAACAAGTAATGTTCAACATAACATTATTAAAAGCTAACCAGCACACTAAATTGTTTCTGTGATATATATTAAAAAGTATACAGCTTTGAGTCACAGTTTTAACCAGGCCAAGGGAAAAAAAGTACTGGCAAGGAAAGGTCACAATATGCCAAGTCATCATTAATTTCTCTCCTTAGGGTAGAACTAAACCTGTCTGGCAAGGTGAGATGGACAAGGAAGTTCCCCAAAATACTTGTTCCAGACAGAATTTGAGTCAGCAAGTTCCTCATTAAGCCTTAAAGGGGATGCAGCCTAAATCTGACTATATGAAAGCAATAGAAGTTGGCTGGGAAATACAAGTTATAATTTTTAATTGCTGGGAATTTTAAAAGTTAGACTAGGGAACAACATTGGGGCTCTTTTACAGCATTACAATGTTTATGCTGTTCCTTGAGGTTGGGAGACTCATGGAAAAGTTTTAAATATACTTTCTAAGGAGAAAAGGCAAAAATATGATTTAGAGAACAGAACTTGGGATCAATAAAAACCATTGCCTTTTGGGCACCTTGTTTCCCAGTTCCCTGCTAGTAATAATAACAACTTAATCTCCCTCAAGTCTTGGCACAATATTATCATGGTCTATTTACTGCATCCTAAAGTAGCAAACTCCACATCTCACTTCTTCAAGAATCTTCTCTCTGAATGACCCCCAATTTCATCTTCTGAAGTCCCAAAATTAATCCGTCAACTGACAACGCCCCAGGAAAAACTTTAGTTTTACAACATTCTTAAAACTACATTTTGTACGATGGTCTCCTATGCTAGCCCCACTTTCCACAGCTATAAATAACTCACATATTGTATATCCCTAATGATTGGCTTCATTCCAATTTTCTACCAGCTGGTCTGTTCAAGTTCCAAAAGGCATCTCTTGCGATCGTTAAATCCGCACGTTAATTTGGAAATAGCTATGCCTAGCAGCCAGTAAATTATTTATTAAAGCCAAAGTTTTTAAAATTGCAGGAATTAGGCCAGGCAGTTTTTTAAAAAAAAGAAAAAGAAAAAAGCAGACCTGATACTCTTTTGGGACAATGCTAATCTTTGCTGCACAGAAGATTGAATCAAAGCTGGAAAGAGAACCAGTTGTGTGTTGCTGGTTCTGTCTTGACAGGTCCTCCCACTGGTGCTGCCAGCAAGGGCCTTTTTGTCATCACACTTTTACTGTGTTTACAGTGTTCTTTGTGGGGTGGGGGGGATGCATTTTGCCCACTCCATTCTTGTGGTCCTTAAAGAGGGGGCAGTGATATCTTTGGATAGGCTTTCAATATTCTATTAATACATAACCAAAAGTAGCATTCCTTGAATCTCTGGGAAGTCTGTTTCTTGATCTGGCCTAACTCAAATAGCTAACAGTCAAGTGGCAGAATAGGGATTAGCAAGCACACTTTTCAAGTATAGTTCAAGGAATAGAGGATGGCACTTTAACAGTTTGCTCTGTGGATAGGATCATCAGGTGTGGCAATACATTTTATGCTATTGGCCAAAGGAGTAAAGGACTATAGAACATCTTAACTGAGTAGAGCTCTTGGCAAACAAGCCCTTACTGTATACCTGTATACTGTATACTGCACGAGTCAGAAAGAGGGCTGAGTAAATATCTACAGACCCCTCACATGGACATAAATTATTTCAACTCCTCCCTTCAGGATGTTACTATAGGGCATTGCATGCAAAACCAACAAGATACAAAGACAGTTTTTCCCCCAATGCCATCACTCTTCTAAACACCTAATTCCCATAGTACTGTCTTATGCCTAAGGATATTTACCCATGTAGTAGGGCTGTATTGTTAGTATCCTTCTCATCTTTTCTATTTCCAGTATCTTCTCCTATTGGTATCTTATGATTTATCACTTTATTGATTGTACCTTATGGTTTATTATTGTATCTTATGATTTATGATTTATCACTTTGTTGTTTGTATGTACACTGAGAGTTTAAGCACCGGAGACAAATTCCAATCATGTGTCCAATCACATTTGGCCAATAAAGAATATTCTGTTTTATTCTATTCTATTGAGAGTGATTTCCAGTTCCAGGCTTTGTTTTCTAACTCACAGAAATCTTCTAGATCTTCTTGCAGATTACGGCATTGGCTTGAAATAGGATACAGATAGTCTTTCCATAGATAAAAAGCAACTGTTGCATCTTGATTGTAGATATTATTTTTATTCTACTACTGTATTTATAGTTGACAATTTTAACACGGTCCCTGTTGAGTACAAACCAGGATGTTGGATTTTCTTTCTTTATTTTTATAATGCTGGGTAAGAAATGTAAACAGAGAAAAACTGTTCAAGCTGACTGGAACTGAATCTCGCCATTAGTTCATTGCTTTTCTGTAAGTCCTTTATTATAATACAATAGGCAGCTTATGAATTGTTTTGATTTATTAATCTTGCATTTACTTTTATATTAATAATTAAGTAGTAATATTTCAGTACTATAATGACCTATCCAATGCCTTGAGAGAAAAGACTGTCATGCTTTCATGATAGAAATAGCAGTCAACTTACTACTGATTTTCCAGCTATGGGCTACCTTCACATGTGCACTGGCTGCTAATGGGAATCTTCCCTTCCTATGTATCTCCATCCATTTCTTCCTCCATTTCTTCCAGTCATCTGTCCTAAATGCAAAGTGGAAACTTCCCAAAATTCTGCAGCAATTTAGGAGAGGAGGAAGGATTCTTTCCTCTGTGCATTAGACTTTTAGTGAAATAAATTGAAATCCCTGTAATTGTTTCTGGAACCTGAACACGGCATGGGAGGTATCAGACCATATAAGAAGTATGTTACCACTTACTTTCCATCTCCAAGAATTCCTGGAAAGATCCCAAGGATTCCTTGGAGGAATTTTTCCCATACCTTTGCTCTGTAATCCTTTTAATTGAGATAACGTGAGCTGAACCTCAAGACCTGCCATGCTATTATTATTAAACACCCTCCCCCCATCTGAAAAAAAAAAGTTTGTGCATACAGGTAGTCCTCGACTTATGACCACAACTGAGCCCAAAATTTCTGTTGCTAAGTGAAATGGTTGTTAGGTGAGTTTTGCTCCATTTTATGACCTTTCTTGCCACATTTATTAAGCGAATCACTGTTAAGTTAGTAACAGGGTTGTTAAGTGAATCTGGCTTCCTCCTTGACTTTATGTTTGTCAGAAGGTCACAAAAAAGGATCATGTGATCCAGGAACACTGCAACCATCATAAATATATGCCAGTTGCCAAGCATTTGAATTCCACAGAGATGTTGTGATGGTCATAAGTGTGAAAAACAGTCACAAGTCATTTTTTTCAGTACCATTGTAACTTTGAACAGTCACTAAACAAATATTTGTAATTTGAGGACTACCTAAACAGTATATATATATAGGTCTTTGGTTATTCGGGTTTTCTCCCACGTCAAATTGGAAGTGTCTTGGTGACGTTTCGACAAAGTTTCATTCGTCATCTTCAGGCTGGTGTTTTCGGCTTTGTGCTCCTAGAAGCACGAAGCCGAAAACACCAGCCTGAAGCTGACAAATGAAACTTTGTCGAAACATTGCCAAGACACTTCCAATTTGACGTGGGAGAAAACCCGAATAACCAAAGACCTATATACAAACACCCACGAAAACCTCAGGAGTCTCCAAAGTAATGACACTCAGTTCACGGAGGAGGAGCTAAATAAATGCCACCATATCTCACCTAATAGGCTTTTTTTCTGAGGTAAAATTTCATGCAATCTCTTTATGCTAACTTGGTTCACTGAGGATCTTGGTACCTCCAAGTAGATAGATAGATAGATAGATAGATAGATAGATAGATAGATAGATAGATAGATAGATAGAAGATATGGAAGCATCGTTATTTTTATTTGTACTTTTTTTTAATCTAAGCAAATAGATTGAAAGAGGCCAACCCAACAAATTCACTTTCAAAAATGCAGTGAGCATAAAAATGTAACCTAGGCCATGACTCAGCATTCATTCGAATTCCAAGTTTACCAAAAAAAAAAAAAAAAAAAAATCCAGGACTTTTGCACTTTATGGTAATGAACAAGTTGTTCCTTCTTTCTAGCTAAACATTTATCTTCATTTCATTTCCTCCTTTCCAGCCTCTGCAGTAAAGGAAACTTTTCAGAGAGTGAACAAAAATTGGAACTGAAAGAGGAATCTTTGAAAATGGAAGATAAGAAAATCATAAATATGACCACAGCTCGGTGGGTGATTAAAATCACTTACTTCCTGACGGCTCTGGATCTGACCTGCATGTTTATGCAGTTTGGGATTGTTCCAGTGAGTACAAAGTGTGAATGCCTGCTGCCTGTTCAGTTACTGCTTGAAACCATGGCATGTTTCTTGATACTACTAGGTAGAAATCCATTTAGCCATGTCACCTCAGATAAATTAAATTATATGAACTAATATTTGTTCTGCAAAAGTTATTCTCATTACCTTACTAGCTCATAAGGATGGGTTTAATGCAGTGGTGGGATTCAGCCAGTTTGCACCACTTCGGCGGAACCAGAAGCTAATTTTCTATTGCCCAGATCCAGAATAAACTTCTGGACGTGGCATCTGCACAGAGAACTGGTTGTTCACATATTTGAATCCCACCACTGGTTTAAGGGCTGTATAAGGAACTTTCCCTCAGGACTCTCCTTGAGTCTTGTTTCTATAGCATCCTCTAGCCCAAGAAATGAATTTAATAAAACAAACTTAGTTAATCGTTGTTTTTATGTTTTTGTATTGTTTCTTGTTTAAACGTTTTTAACAAATTGTAAAGTGTCCAGAGTTGTTGGGAGTCAAGTGGCATATAAATGTAATTATTATGGTTGTTCACACAGACAGCCAAAGTGAATTTGACATTTTTATCCACGTATTGATTCTTCTCAAGGATCTGGGGTCGTCAGATGTTGTTCAATGGCGTTAAAAGTATCATGGATGTAATTGAGCCAATAAAAGCACTTTTTTCAGCTGACTAATTGTGATTTTGTTGATGCTGATGGTGTTCAAATGGTACTCCAGATATTTTAGGATTGTACAGAACACGCCTATTATCATCATCTTCTCATTAGACTTGATTTGTAATTATGGTTGGTCACACAGTCAACCAGATGTTTAGACTGGGTTTAGCCATTTTATCTACCTTATCGAGCCCTTCCAAGGACCTGGGATAAGCAGATGTTGTTTGATGGTGTTATTATTATTATTATTCATTATAGTTTGTCACACAGTCAGCCAGATGTTCAGACTGCATTTGGCATTTTTACCCACCTATCCTCCCCAAGGACCTGGGATATGCAAGTGTTGATGTTTTATGGTGTTAGAAGTATTGTTAATAATTAATAATTATTATGATGATTGTTATTATTAATTGGGAGCTGAATATAATTTTTTTAAACACACTTTCTGATGAGATTGATTATAGGCCGTTCAGGCTATTGAAGTTTAATTGCTAGGAATGCAGTTGTTCATTATGTATATTGATGTTTTAAAAAGGGATATATTGGGCACAACTTTAAAATCAGTTTCTCAAATGTAGAAATGTCCCTCTCTAGATCATTTCCATAAGTTGTTTTTGATTCTTTTGGACTCTTCAGTGGTAGAAAACAATTACTGAGGAAAATGAATTAAAGTTTTAATCCCTTGCTTATTTTTGATTTAGGCTGCAAAAAGTTGGTAAGTGTTTTATAATGTAAATATTTATTTTCCACTAAATAGACAAGAGCTTATAACCATATAAAAGAGTTTAACAGAATTCAATGAATCATGTATAAACACAAAGTTAAACCTGAAGTTTAAAGTGGTTCTTAATCAAGATTAAGCAGTATTCCATTGTATTGGGATGGGGGAGGGTTGCTAGCTGAAAACTCCATCAAATTGAATTTAACCCTCTGGCCAGTAGGAGTGGATGCAGAAATATTCCTTTCATTTTCTTTTAAAATGAAGGATGAAAGAAGAACTGAGACTTGAAGGTGAGTTACAGTTTATAGCAGGGATGTCCAACCTTGACAATTTTAAGACCTGTGGACTTCAGCTCCCAGAATTCCTCAACCAGCCATGCTGGCTGGGAAATTCTGGAAGGTGAAGTCCACAAATCCTAAAATTGCCAAGGTTGGACACCCCTGATTTATAGGTATACCTAGCTGAATATGGCTGATTGAAAGCAGTATCCAACCTGATTAATAGTTTGATGAGAGACCATTAAGGAATATAAGTGCTGTAGGCTATACTGTAAAATGAACATTCTAAAAGACAACAGCAACCATTTCTACAAGATGTCAAGAAGATTACCTAGATCAGAGGTCTTCAAACTTGGTTCTTTTATGACTTGTGGACTTCAGCTCCAGAATTCCTCAGGCAGTGTGCCATGATCACTTTTTTTTAACATCTTCCCTTTTGAAAATGTAATGTCTAGCCTTTCTATTTTCTCCTCTGTTTTAGTATTTGGCAACTAACTTGGGTTTGGATGCAATTGGATTTGGATACTTGCAAACATTCTTTGGTATTCTTCAGCTTCTGGGTGGCCCCATCTTTGGAAGGTAACTTTAAAGGATTGTTCTTCTGAGCTCTTGTGCAATGGCAGAATTGTCCTAAATTAATAGTGTCATGTTTAACTTAGGAAAATAATTCAGATTTAGTATCCAATTTCAATTACACATGCAGGATAAAACAGAAAAGGAAAAAATCTAAAGTATACCCTCCATTGTGTATTAACTACTTAGGGATCTGATAAGAACAAAACTGTTTTCCTTTCAACCTTAGTGTGTTCAGACTACAAGCTCACAGATTTTTCCAAGGAGCATTGCCGAGAATTCTGGGAACTGAAGCCCATGCAATTTTCTCTAAGCTTGGGGAACCCAGGTGTAATGCTACTGCTGCTGATAACATCAGTTGATTGGAAAGACTATATAGGGAGACTTTGCTTGAGAAGGCAGTTTAGTAATCTGTGTTATTTGCTAAAATTTTCAGGATCACATACGTTTAGAATGATTCTGAGCATCTATTTTTGATTAGTACTAATCAGTCCTAATGAATATTTTCCAATATTCAGATGGATGGATGGATGGATGGATGGATGGATGGATAGATAGATAGATAGATAGATAGATAGATAGATAGATAGATAGATAGATAGACAGACAGACAGACAGACAGATAGATAGATGCAGGCACACAGACAGACAGAAAGAGAGACAGGGATAGTCTTTAACTTATGACTACAATTGGACCAGAATTTCACTCATTAAGTGAATCGCACCTGATTTTATGACTTTTTTTGCCACAGTTGTTAAGTGGGCTGTACAGCTGTTAAGCAAATCCAGTTTCCTCTATTAACTATGCTGGAAGCCAGCTGGGAAGGTCACATAGCAATCACATGACCCTGGGACACTACAACCATCGTAAATACATACCAAATTTTGAACACACAACTGTGGGGGTGCTGCAATGGCTGTAAGTACAAGGACTGACCGTAAATCACTTTTTTCAATACTATTGTAACTTCGAATAGTCACTAAACAAATGGTTTTAAGTTGAGGACAAACTGTAGTTAGATAGGTTTGTGTTCCGGTTATTTGACGATCAGGTTGATGGTTTCCAATATGACGGGTTCTGCTTTTCTAACTGAGGTTCAGTCAGTGTTCTAAATATGCTGCATTCTTCTTCCAGGTTTGCTGACCAGTTTGGAACTAGAGCTGCCTTGACCCTTTCATATTTGGCTGGATCCCTGTGCTTCTTGCTCCTCTCTGTCTCCATCAGCGTCCCCCTGCTCTTTCTATCCAGGGTTCCAGGCACCTTCATTCATGGATTACCAGGTAATGTTACAAGATATACAAATCCAGGAGACAATTGACTCCAGTTACCTTGGTTATTAATTGAGCCTGCAGCCCTTCAGAAGTGGACATGGAAAGAGAGCTTGTAGTTCAATAAAAGCTCGCAATTTTCCACTGTCTTCACAGGTGCACAGATGGTTATAACAGATTTGACAACTCCGGCCAAACGTGCTGATGCTTTAGGAAAGCTTGGACTTTGTTTTGGAATAGGAGTAATTCTTGGACCATCCCTGGGCGGTATTTTAACCACAAAGTTTGGGTGAGTAGTCTAATGGCCATATAAGTAGTTGTGCTTGGAAGGTAGCCATATTCCAGCTATGAAGTTGGATCATTCTTGATCTATTAAGAAATGCCTTACTCTGTGCCAAGATATCAGTAAATAATGTAAAACTGGGTGGAAAAATATAAAGGAAAAGATTGCTCTGTGTTGAGAAGGAATAAAGTTCTGCTTAGTAGATCCTCCCTCCTCCGCCAAATTGTTGTTTGTTTTTTCTTCTGTTTTACTGTATCTGATTCTCAGAGACTGCCTCAGCAAGTCCCTGCAGTTTTCTTGACAAGATTTTTCAGAAGTGGCTTGACATTGCCCCTTTCTAGGGCTGAAAGTGATTAGCCCAGTGTCACTCAACTGGCTGTGTGAGTAAGGTGGGAGCAAAGCCCACAGGCTCCCAGTTTGTTAAGCCTGATGACTTAACCACTACATCAGACTGGCTCTCTGTAATTTTTAATCCTCTTTCCATTTGCTGGAAAAGAAAATGATTCTGAAATGAAGACCAATTCTAGTTTCTGGATAGATAAAATTCTCATGGGGGAAATGTGGAATTTTTGCATTTGCCCTAGTTACCAGCAGTGTTCCAATATCTTGGGGGCTGCCACAAAGAAGAGGAAATCAAGCTATTCTCCAAAGCGCCTGAAGGCAGGACAAGAAGCAACGGGTGGAAACTAACCAAAGAGAGAAGCAACCTAGAACTAAGGAGAAATTTTCTGAGAGTTAGAACAATTAATAGTGGAATGACCTGCCTCCAGGAGCTGTGAATGCTCCAACACTGGAAGTTTTTAAGAAGAGACTGGACAACCATTTGTCTGAAATGATATAGGGTTTCCTGCCTGAGCAGGAGGTTGGATTAGATGACCTCCAAGGTCCTTTCCAAATTATTATTATTATCGATCATCGAACAGTCAGCCAGATGTTCAGACTGGATTTGGCATTTTTGTCTACCTATCGAGTCCTTACCAAGGATCTGGGATAGGCAGATGTGGATGTTTGATGGTATTACAGATATCGTCACAGGATGGAAGCAGTTCCTAGTAAGGCCGCCTTTTGCAATTGACTAATGGTGAATTTGTCAATGCCAATGGTGTTCAAGTGGAGCACCAGTTGTTTTGGGATTGCACCCAAGACGTCTTTTACTATTGTTACTACCCTTGCTTGCCTTTGCCACAGTCTTTCTATTTCTATTTGTAGGTCTTTGTATTTTGTTATTTTCTCCAGTTCTTTCTTGTCTATTCTGCTGTCTCCAGGCACTGTCATGTCCACTATCCAGACTTTTTGTCTTTCTTATTGATAATTATTAAGTCCGGGGTGTTATGTTGCAAGTGCTTGTCTGTTTAAATTCTGAAGTCCCAGAGCAGTTTAACTTTATCATTTTCTATGACTTTCTCTATTTTATGATCCCACCAGTTCTTGCCTACAGGCAAATGATATTTCTTGCAGATCTTCCAATGCACCATTGTTGCTACTTTGTCATGCCGTTGCTTGTAGTCAGTCTGTGCGATCTTCTTGCAACAGCTTGCCAGGTGGTCCACTGTTTCTTCAGTTTGTTTGCATAGGCAGCACTTACTGTCTGTTGTTGTCTTCTCAATTTTGACTTTGTATGCATTTGTCCTTAAGGCTTGGTCTTGTGCACCCAGAATTAGTCCCTCGGTCTCTTTCTTCAACTTTCCTGCTCTTAGCCATTGCCAGATCTTGTTATTATCTGCTTTCCCAGCTATTTTTTTAATGTACTGGCCATGTAGTGCTTTGTCTTCCCATGCCTCTATTCTGTTCTTCATTGTAGGCCAGTTTGATCTCTCCAGTAGTCAGTAAGCCTTCCTGATATACTAATTTCAGTGCATCTTCATCACTGTCCTTCAGATATTCTTCCAAAGCAATTTTTTTCTTCTTCAACCATCTGATGTATTTGCAGCATTCCACATCCACCTATTTGCCTTGGTAGATGGAGTCTGTCAATGTCACTGCGTGGATGAAGGGCATGATTCATTGTCATTATTTTTCTGGTCTTCTTATCCATTGCTTTTAGGTCTGCTTGAGTCCAGTCCATTATTCTAGCTGTGTATCTAATGACTGGAATTGCCCAGGTGTTGATTGCCTTCACGGTATTTCCTCCATTGAGTTTGGACTTTAAGATCTTTTTCACTCTTTTGATGTATTCACCTCTAATCTTTTTCTTGACTTCAGTGTGCTTGATGTTGTCAGCTTGAAGGATACCCAAGTATTTATAGTAATGTTCCTCATCCAGACTCTTAATGCTATTTTCATGAGGCATCTTGATTCCTTCAGTTTTCATTATTTTTCCTTGTTTGACAGTAAGTGTGGCACATTTGTCCAAGCCAAACTCCATTGCCATATCTTCACTATATATACAGACAGTGTTGAGCAGCAATTCTATTTCAGATGATGTTTTTCCATATAGCTTCAGATCATCCATTTAAAGGAGGTGGGATAGTCTGGCAGATGTTTTTGATGTTTGATAGCCATGTCCTGAGTTATTCACTTCTATTGCGATGCCCCCCCTCCCCTCCCCTTCGGTTCTATTTGAAAGGACTTCAGGCGGCACAATCTTGTCCGAGACACCTAACCAGAATACATCACCCCTCCCCCTGATTACATGTTTCAAAACTTCCCCTGGCCACCCTTTTGTCTTGTTAAGTCCATTGTGAGAAAAGGGGAGATAACGTCAGTTTTTAACTCACATTGCAGTGGATACAGATGCAATAAACAAAACAAAAGGTTATCCAAAGCAATAAACAAAGCAAATAGAGGAAGCAATAACCCCAGGCACATCCCCTTCTCCCCTCTGGAGAGATAGAATAGGAATGGATTCTGACAACCGTTTTATTTTTAAACTTCTGTGTTGCTCACAAATCCACCCTTTTCTGTTTTTACACTAATTTAAAAATAAAAATATTGTTTTTCAAATGGTTTTAAACTTTCCCGGATCTCCTCGGCATTCTCGAAATCAATTATTGTAGTATGCTGAGTTATCTTGTTTAACATCATCATTTGCTTGTCACTTTTGTTAATGGCATTTACCATTCTCTCCACAGTATTTTGCACAAATACTTCATATTATAGGGATCAAGCAGGGTAAGCACATTAATCCTACAAGTATCACTACTAACATGAATAAAGCTTGTTTCCGATTCCTAAAAATTCCTCCCAGGAATCCTTCATCATCAAGTATTCCAGTCCAGGTTTGGACTGGTATATGGGCTATTTTTCTTATTTTATTCGTTATTTCTGTCAACGCTGCAAATACTGTATATTCTTGCTTTGACAATATGCAGAACTGTCTGGTATTTTTAGAGTTAATGTAGAGCATAAGAGAGAGGAAGGAAACCTTTGACCTTCACACTAATTGGATAACGGTGATATATGACAGCTAATTTAGGGAGGGAACATGCTGATAATTTAACTGCTCAGAGGAAGAGAACTTAGATCTTAGCATAGACTTCGTTATGCCTGTGCCGACATTTTGAAGCAATAAAAGACTTTTAGGGAAATCAATGCCTGGAAGTTCTTTGAAGTGTTTCATTAGCCGGAACCATAACAACATGCTAAGATCTAAATTCTCTTCCTCTGAGCAGTTAAATTATCAGCATTCAATAGCCTTCCTTTCATCATCTATTTGCAGACAACAGTTGGTGAAATTAAATAATAATAATAATAATAATAATAATAATAATAATAATAATAATAATAATAATAATCCCCCAGTGAGGCACTACCTTGACGTGGTTGTGGGGCTTGTGTACTCTGAGGAAGATGAGAGCTATGCCAGAGGTTCAACCATACTGGACAGGTCTCATCAGAGGAGTCAGACAAAGAGTGTCTCTCCCATAAAAAATATGGTGAGACGTAAATTTCAGAATGCCATACCGGCTCGGACGTCGCCCGGGTTAACAAGGTCCGCACTAGATATTGGAGTTCCTGGATATCTGGTGAAAAATGGGTTACAGGACTCAGGACTGTTGGCTGAGCAACCAGGGCCAGCAGCTGCAGAACTACTGGAAGAAAAGGTGTTTACCCGTCGCAGATACACAGTGATGGAAAACAAAGAAATAATGATCTGTTACTACAGATCAAGTCCAACAAGAAGAGGATATCTAAAACGAATGCACCAGTTCTGGAAAGAACAACATCCAGAATCAGAAATAACAGAACAGAGACTAGCAGATCAACGCCGATTTATAACACGAAATAAAGTATTCACAGAAACAGAATTGGACGAACTGCAAAGGTTTACCCAGGGCAAAGAAACCAAAGCCTTACCAGAAGTAATTCAGAATGTAGAGGCAAACCAGGGGGAGTTGGCAGTGAAGGAATCTAGCAGAGATATACAACTGTTCTCATTTGGAAATCAGGCACCTCTACCTCAGGAAGAACAAAACCCTCTAACTAAAGAAATAAAAGAATTGAAACAAAGAATAACTGAGCATCTAGAACAGCACAAAAACAACAGAATAAGGCTACCTGCATTGAAGCTTGTTCCAAAGAAACAGCTAGCACAAGCATTAAAAGATGCAAATACTGCAATATCAAGTATAAGCACCAATTCACTGCAAGAAACAAACCAACTAATGTACAGCACAGCTGCAGTTATAACAGAATACCTGGGATGCAAAATCAACAAAGAAGAAAAACAAACAAACAGTGCACCAGAAAAATGGAAGGTTAGACTAGAAAATAAGATCAGCAAGTTAAGATCACATGCAAGCAAGCTAGAACAGATGAAAGAAAAGAAGCTGAAGAACAAGAAGACCAAAGAATACCTAATCAAGAAATACCACTTAGAAACAAGGAAGATCAAGGAAGCACTGGAAATAATAAAGCAACAAATAACAGCTATAGCCAGGAAAATCAGTAGATATGAAGCTCGAATTGCAAACTATAGGCAGAACCTCCAATTTCAATCCAATCAGAAACGTTTCTACCAATCCATCAATGGAGAAACTGCAAGGAATCAGTCAGTACCTGACAAG